GAAGTTGGACAATTTAAACCTCATCTTTAATCTCAACTATGTATTTTATTAATGACAAAGCTTCCTGAGATCCTACATCCAGACAGAAAGCAAAGATGACTGTAAGAATGAATGGGATGTGATTGTGAGACTTATAACATGACCACAGAATATGACTTATAATTTATTCCCTAATCAAGCTGAAGAGTGAGTGGCCCTGGCAGCAGCTTGTTGGAAAGTTCTTCACTTAGTTCCTGGTCAGACAATATGGGGAGGAGGACAAAGATCACACAGATGAATCTTCCTGGGGATGCTAGAATGAGAATTGCTTACATCTATTTATTGGTTATTTATCTATTGGTTCTCATTAAATAGCTAGAGCTTTAGAGCCTAAGGAATGACAGGGCCTATCACTAAATAAATAAATCCTTGTTTGGTACCACCTATAACTTCACAGTCACATTCATGTATCTTTTATTTTTTAATTGAAGTACAGTCAGTTTATAATGTGTCAATTTCTGGTATACAGCATCAAGTTTCAGTCACATATACACATACATATATTTGTTTTCATATTCTTTTTCATTATAGGTTACTATAAGGTATTGGATATAGTTCCCTGTGCTATACAGTATAAATTTGTTTATCTAACATGCACATATCTTGAAGATGCTAGTTTTTTGATATTGACTAATGCATAACATGAACTCATCATCTTTCTCCTAAAACAGTTTCCTTTTTATCACTTCTCCTAACTGCCCGTAGGGTTATGGGGTTTCAGTGAGGAAATATGTGCCAAGGGCTTAGCACAGTGCCTGGAACATGATTAGTGACTGCAAAATCTTAACTTTACTATTATTAAGGGTTGATTACCTTTTCTATCACTTATGCACTATAATGTGTCAGAAGAGAGTTTTATTTGTTTACCTGTTCATTCTTTTAAAACTTGTTCTTAAGGAAAATTTCATACATATACAAAAGTAGAACACTACAATAAACTCCATGTGCCCATTATTCAGATTTAATAATAATCAATGTTTGGTCTCCCCTGCCACCTCCATTTACAAGCCTATCCTCCTCCTTCCCCAGATTATTGAAGCAAATCCCAGACATCAAGTCATCAGAACATGACGTTCTGAAGTCATACAGATAAAGGTTCTAATCCTATACTTCCTCTCTTGGCTGCATGGGGAAGCTACTTAACCTCTGAATTTAGGCGCCCAGCAGCTTACTCAAAGAATCTAAGATCATTTTCTCCTAGTTGGCTCTAATTTTCAGCATCTGTGATGTTTCTCTCTAAATATAACCAGCTCCACTCTATTGCTTTTACTCTAATCTGTACTCTTTTATCTTACTGTTGGATAATCCCAATAGCAACCTCTTTTCTCACCTCTTGCTCATCCAAACCTGGGTTTTCTACTATGCTGTGTTTCTTTTAGGCAGAATACTAATCCTGAAAGATGTTCAGTAAAGCAAAAAGATCAAGGGTGAAACAAGTTTGGGAAAGACTGCAAAGGCTACCCTCTTCACAATGTACACTATATTAAAAGCTCCAAGAAGTCTTGCAGTAATGGGTTCTGTCTAACTTGTATGATTATGAAACTTTTTTTTTCACCTAACAGTGAAGAACCTATAAAACTAGAGTTCTGCAGAACATGCTTGGGAAATACAGTGACAGGTTAATGCCATATCCGTGCTCCTTAAGTAATGCCTTCATTGGGAAACTATCAACTAAACAGAATTTCAAGAGTTCCTCCTTAATCATAGTTCAAATCAACTTAGGCTGCTTCTCACATCTTTGTATATGCCACAAACTGTCTCCCAATCTAGAAGAGTGTTCGCCTTGTATGTCTGGCTCTCTTACATTGTTGTGCAGGTGCAATGCAGGTGTGCTCAGTGAGTACCTACTGAGTGACCACCCAGGCTACACCAACCATGTGACTCATCTCAACCAGCAATGAAACTGTTCATGTTGCTGCTACTGACAAGTCCTTGAGATACTTTATATATCTCAGAAATGAACACTAGAAGCTGGAGAAGATGTCTGTCTTCTTCAGATATCTAAAAGGTCATGAGTTCCTAAAGATTCCCTCTGACACATCCATAATAATCTTCCAGACCAGCCATGGAGATGACCCGTATGAGTTTATCATCATTCTTCACTTGTCTCTTGAGCCTCAGTTGCCTCTTTTATAAAATGAAGGTACTAATACCTACTTGGCAGGCATATTGTGAGGACTTAATAAAATACTGGACAGAAGTACTTAGTCCAGGGACTGAAACATGCTAGATAGTCAAGAGATGTTATTTTTCCCTGTCATGGAGAATAAAGTAGAGTAAAAGGAAAAGGCAAGCACGTAACATATAGGGTAGCCCAGGAAGACCTCTCTAACAAGGTGGTATTTAGAAGGGAGGGAGAGTGCCACACAGCTATCTGGGAACAGGTTGTCCCAGGTTAAGAGGAAAGCAAGTACAAAGATGTTGAGTCATGACTGTGTGGCTTGTCTGAGGAACAGCAAGGCCACCAATGTGACTGGAGCATACTGGACATGAAGAAGGCAGAAAGGGCTGGTCAGAGAGTGAACAGAGAAGTAACATGATCTGACTGATGTTTTAAAAATGTTTTAAAAAGATCATTCCAGTTACTGTGCTGAAAACAACTGGAAAATTGGAAGAGTGAGAAACTGGAGAAACCAGTCAGAAGGTATTTCCTTGAATCCAACGAGGGTGCAGTGGCAAGAGAGTTGTATCTGTGTATATTTTGAAAGTAAAGAAGACTTGGGTTGGTGATGGATTAGATATGGAGGTGTGAGAAGATGATGGGAGCCAAGAATAACCCCAAGAATTCTGACACAAGCAACCACAAAGTCAAAGCTGCCATTTAGAAAGATGGGAAGACTGAAGACAGACCAGGTTTGGGGGAGAGGAATTCAGGAGTTCGGATCTGGAAATGTTGCGTGGACAAACCTATTTCACAGTCCTTGAAGTAGAGACCTACCTTAGTCTCAACGAGCTACAACAGCCCTGGCCGGGTACCAAAGGATGAGGGCATGGGACGCTGGCTCTGTGCTCTTCTCTGGCCAGATCACATACTTATCATACACTGTTTTACATCATATACTGTACCCTATACTAGCACTAAAGCTGGGTGAGCTGATGAGAAGACAGGACTCAGGAAGTCTCAAGCTGGCTATGATTCCTTCCTTGCACTGCACTGAAAGACAGCTAACTCAGTAGCCAATTCCCCAAAACACTCTCCAGAGTTAAGACCACCTTGTGATCACAGAAGGACACTGCATACTAGGATTGCCTGGCCTAAGCCATGGTTGTCCAGTCCCTCTTCCAACTCTTCTTACCGAACATCTTCTACAAAGTGTAAACTTTGTTAACTGTCCTCAGCCTCACACATTACAACTCCCCATTATCACCCTTCCTGAGACTAGAAGAGCAAGGTTTTATTCCAACTTTTCATTAGAAAAGCATAAACTGAGTATTCCTCTTGAGAGAGAGAAGTTCTCATACTCCCAAGATCCCTTAGCCATTAAATGCCTCCAAAGAGTATAAGTTTTTATATGCCAATGTCTAGAATCTTTATCTACTTACAGAAATTTAACCAAAGGGAACATATACAAATATTCTGCCACAAGGAATCACTATGTTTATAGTAGTGCAAACATTTGGGACAGTCCATTGGTTCAATAAAGAAGACTAGTTAAAGAAATCCTGGTGTAGAAAGAATACTAAGTGATCATCAAAATGGTTCCATATAGGAAGACATTAAAAGATATTAAGTGAAACAGCAGATTACAAATAGCATGTGTAGTATGACCCTCAGTTGTGTTAAAAAAAAAAGTGTGTGTATCTACTAGAAGTTTAATATGATTTATATAATTAGCAAAAATAATGGTTGTATTACCACTGAGTAGAGGGGACTGTGGATAGTTTTCTTCTTTTTACTTGTCTACAGTAAATATATATTGTCTTATCATTAAGAGTGAGTTTAAAAATTTTTATATTCAATATAAAATCTCATGTTTGCAATTTATGTTTCCAATTTAGTTTTTACTATATGATGTGTATATATGTGTACATATATATTTTTTCTTTTTAACTATCTTTTTAACATCTACCTACATCCCTATATATACTTCATCTAGGTCAAAAAACTTCCTTCTGAGAAGCCACTTATGGACTCTCCCTCCAAGGCCTCTCCCCCAGGGGATGTGACACACAACTCTGCAGAGAGGTCAGTCGCAGCGTTCCCCTGCTCAGCACAGGAGACCCTGCTTCCAGGGCCTGTGGGCGCAACTTCCCCAGCCTAGCAACCGCTACACAGGAATGTGACACAGAATGGACTGCCCTATTCTCCACACCTGGCCAGAGCCCCAACTGTTAAGCAGAGACTAAGAGTTCCACAGTCCCCACCAGGGTAACAGGCAATGGGCTTTGTTTTCTATAAACAGACAGATGAGAAAAAAGTTCAGGTTAAAACACAGTCCTCAGAGGAAGAAAAATAGAAACCAGGCAGCGGGGAATGCTTCATATTCCTAAAAGCTTTTTTGTAAGTTAACACATGGTGTCTGCTTCTCTCTAGTCACCTATTTATCACTCTCCTCCTTAGAGAAGGGAAAAAGCCCTGGCTGTTTTCCTAGTGCAGAGTTCTGTGGCTGGGGGGAAGGAGGAAAGGGGGGAGGAAGGAGGGTGCTTTAAGCATGATGCAAACCATTTGGAGCTGAGTGAGAGCACTGCCAACACAAGCTGCACTATTTAAACAAGTGAGGAAATGATCGTATATACAACATGCCAGCGAGCGCACACACACACCAAAGGAAGTCGAGAGGGCTTTTTTTTTTCAGGACACAGAGCTGGATGTCAGCGGCTAAAAGGTCGATATTTTCCCTTAACACCCTTCTCAATGACTTAATCATGTTCCGTTTGCACAGAAAACTTCCCAAGAATAAAAAAGTCTGGAGAATTAAGAGGAGGGGTGAATGGGGAGGGATGTTTGGCCTGGGGCTGACCTTATCCGAGGTTTTCTCCACGTAGCAGGGGTCCTGAGGGGCAGCCAGCAAGGGGACAAAGCCTGAGAGAAGCCGATCCTCTTCCAGGATAAGGAGGGTGAGGTCATCGTCCGGGTCCTTGTACAGTGGCACCTCAGACTGATTCACTGCAGTCAGTACGTTACAGAAATCAGCCAGCATCGACCACACATCCACAGCAACCCTGTGAGAAATAAGGTAAGAAAAGAAGAGCAGCTCTAAAGAGGGACCAGTTAAAGTATTCCAAGCACTTGTGGGCAGGGAGGTACTTGTGGCAAATGTCATCTACCTCTGGTGTCTGCCAGGAAATCTAATCCAAAAAGCTAGAATACAAAATTGCACCCATGGCAGCAAACTGATGGGTGTGTCCATCTATGCAAAGTTGAAATTGATTAGGGGGAGTTTTTAATACCAACCAGAGAGAAAAAAAATTTAGAGAATCAATTGCCTAATGCAGGTCCTGTCACCTTTCCAGACAGTGTGCCTGAGACACTTACTCAAACACTCAAGACAACTAGTGCTTGAGGCAGCTCCCAGAATTCCCCAACTCCTGTCCAGCCAAGTATATGCCACACAGACAGCAACCTAGTGCCAATCTCCCCTCCTCCCACACAGCCAGAGGGGCCAGTCACACCACAAAGGGTCATGTGGTTACCACCCCCTATCCGCCCCCGTCCCTGACAATGCTTTAGAAATCACTTCATATATATAAGTAGGGAAACAATCAAACACACACCCAACGAAAACCTCATTCCTGGCCTGCCAAGACCCTCCCAGGAAAGTAAAGCTTCCTATGTGTTTCAGCAGACAAACCAGTATCAGTGCTGTCTTGGCCGTCCCACTCTTTCTCCTCTCCCTCATTTGTGGATGGTTAGACACAGGGTGACCAACTATTCTGGTTTGCCTGAGACTGTCCCAGTTTTAGCACTGAGAGTCCTATGTCACCAGAAACCCCAGTCCTGGGCAAACTGGGGATGGTTGATTATCCCTAACTGCATGTCACCAGGTCCTGGCTGAACCTGAGAAGGAATCTTGAAAATGCAAAGTCTGGCTCTCCCCAGTTCAACCTCCAGGGCAGAATTAGAAAAAGAAGATTGATTTCTCTGTCACCATCATTTGTCAAAAATCTACTGTGGTTCAGATCCCTGCTTTGGTGGGTGCTAAGGATCCCCAAAGCCTTCTTTTTGCCTACACAGAACACAGCTCAAATAGCCAAACTGTGGTCAGATCCAGGGCCTACCAAGTCTACAGGCCCTGGACTATACAACACGTGGCTTTCTTTTCCAGAAGACCACCTAACCAGGGAGTCTGGAACAGGCAGTGCCCTATGGATGCCTTACTGCAAAAGGAGCGAGTTATATAGAAAAAGCTTCGTGGTTAGGCTCGAGTGGTGGAATGGCAAGAACCAAGAAGCAAAGAAAGCTGTAAGAACAAGCTACATCCTGGAATCTTCCCAGAGGAGTTACTGTGCATGAGCCAATCTGCTAGGGAGGGGCCTCAGACCTAAGCAGTTTGTTTCTCATGGAGACTGGGAGCCTTCGGGAGATGGCAGAACAGAGGGCATTCTAGGGACATGCCAATGAAGGTGATGCTAGGGGAGAAAGTGGAGTAGAGGTGTGGGTACTCCCTGAATGGCTCCAGGTGGAAGGAACCTGCACTGGTTTATTTACTGTAATCACTGCACTAGGAAAAGGCAATGAAATGAAACATCTTGTTTTCAAGAGTGTCCTGGGAACCAGGCGGAACACAGCTCCATTAATCACACAACGGCACATAATCAACACACGTGTACTGCACAAGTAACTTGCCTCATAGGCTTTGCAGAGGGAAAAGAACATGTTTGGGAAGAATCACCGGAGGGACAAGAGTTTTCTAAAGCCTCTCTCTGCACAGACACCAACAACCAGACTCATTCACAAAGCTTCATCGTTTGGCTCGGCCGAGTTTGGCTGTCAGAAATGTTTAAATATGGAAAAAAATAAACAGTTGCAACACGTTTCTGTGCAGAGATCTGCCTGAGCCCCTTTGTGATGTAATGGGAAACACAGTATTCAGGCTACCAGCTGTAGAATAAACAGAACTTCGAGGGTTAAAAGGAACTGAACTTTCCACGACCCCATCTGCAGAGAAGAAAATAATAAGAGGAATGATGCACTGCCCCACAGCTCTGATAGTTTATCCTCCGGTCCCGGCTGCAGAGACAAGCACCGGATGTGATAGGGCTGCTCAGGGCCGCCTCCGAGGTTAGCGCTGCCCATGGGAGACGCACAGGGAGGCTCTTCCAGCTCCCCGCTTCCTCCCCCAGTGCCCTGCTGGCCACTTGAGCCCACTGCCTGAGTCTGATCCCACAGCACTGGTGAGCTCTGGCCAACAGGCACTGCTCGGCTGCAGAGCAGCAATTTGGAAAATAAACAGGAAAGACGACAGTGAGAAGGAAGAAGGTGAAAAGTCTCCCAGCTGAATTCTTGGCTTGGGGGCCTTGGTTGGTGCTGTACAGGTCAAGGCTGCCTTAGGACCTAGCCGCGGGTACGGGGTGTGGGCAGCAGCATCTCCAGCCAGGGAGAGGCGGCAGAAAATTACCCACGGCTGCCACAGTGGGAGGCCCCACATCCCTCTCTTATCCTCCCACCCCTACCATCTTGGATCCAAGATGAAGAAATATGTAGTACCATGTGGTTCTCATTACCATGCTCCCCTGTCCCTTAAGGCTCAGATAAACCAAGGCTGACTCCTCCCAGAGACTGCTGACCACCACTAGGGACCCCTGCCCACATCTGCCTTTTGCCCATTACCACCCACCTTGGCCAAAACCTGAAGACTCACTACAAAAATGAAGTGAGTGAGAGTTCCTATCCTAGTACTGATTTGTCAGATAGCACCTGATGCTAGAAGACACAGAATGTTTCTCCAGTTCCCAATTCAGAAATTCAAGCTAGACTGAGCAGAACCAGGGGAATACACAAAATGCTTCAATGAAAGGTCACTTCTGCCTGAGCCCTTCAGACTGGTCTTGTGTGTGAACTCGGATTCTGAGTGGCTGCTTTCTTCTGGTATCTCGGTAGGACTGTCCCAGATCACTCCACATCTCCTCCTCGGTTACCTCCTCTCACTGAGCACCACAGACACACACGAACGCAACTGACTAGACACCGATGGGTTATACGGGGACTCTCCACAGAAGGCGGGGAGGAGAGGGGTGTCAGGAAACTAATACTAAAAGGAAAAAGTACTTTGAAAAACTAGGTGAGATGTCTGAACTTAAAAGTTGAGGTATTTGCAAAAGGATGAGGTAATTCCTGGAACTTGGGCAAGATCTCCTCGGCTACCCTAATCAGGCCTCTAGGCTGAGAGGTCAGTTCTGTGGGTGAACACAGGGCTTCCTGTCTGAGCAGAAGGGGAAAAGTTAGCTTTTTCTGCACTAGTTCCTTATGCCAGCTAGGAGTGCCTTCCAACCTTCACCCTCCTGCAGCCCTTGGATTCTAAGGATTCAAGGCTGGCCTGAGCCAAGGAGCCCAAAGTCAAATTCTGGTGGCTAGGAGGAACTTTAAACAGTTCCAAATCTTCTAGAAATGCTTGGGAAATGACTCCCCAAAAGTTTTCAGACAATCTCACGCCACCTTTGGTTCTAAATGGACCCCTCTAGCACTACAGGTTCAGCCAAGGCCCTCTAGCTTGTTCTGGTCCCAACTCATAGTTTGGGGACATTCCCAGGGCCCAAAAGATCCCACTAAAGTTAGGGTGCATTCTTCACCAAGCAGCCACAAGGCAGCCAGAGAATATGAAACTGCATCCAGTGAGTCTGTTTATGGCTCTCAGAATGGTGGCAAGGGAGCCTTTCAAGCAGCTGTGATGTGACTGACTAGTGAGCAGGGATCAGCAGTTGCAGGGTGACCCAGTGGCCCAACCCCACACAACACACCACACACCAGGAAAGCAGACCTCTGGCTGGAGTCTGAACACCAGATCCTAGCTTGGGACAAACCAGCAGTGGCTAGTTAGAGGCATGCACTCAGGACCAAGGCTCACTCACTTCCCCACAGACATGCATTCACGTACTCCACCAGGAAAGGAAAAAAATAAGAGTTAATTTACTTTTTATTGCCTCAGAATTCCAAGGTTTAATGTAGCTGTCAGTTTGAGTGCAGTGCAGCTGCTGGCCGATACAATGCAGCCCAGGCCAGCCCAGGTGACTGGGGAAACACATTTCACAGAAATGAACCAACACACACTCTTGGCTGGTTGTTGGGGGGGATATTGACTTGGGGAATCAGATTAACCCTTCAGGCTGGGGTTAGTTCTGCAAACAGCATTAGAAAAGCAGCTTCAGTCCAAGGAACTGAGAATCCCTGTCTCAGGTGGACCAATGAGTTTCTGTGTTTCCACAATTTTGGAGTTTTCTCATATGAGATGTTACTCAACTACAACGTGCTTGGAAAGATTAAGGTGTGAGACACATGATGCAAGTTATACCACAACAATCTATCTCCTTCCTAGAACTCAGAAAAGAAAGGCAGATCTGCCAGCTTTACAGGGAAGAGGTCAGGTATAAACTTCTCTGCAAACTCCATCAGGGGCGGGACCGAGGGAGGGAGACAGTTTGGAGACTGGAGTACTAAGGCCCAACCAGGGCTCAGGCCATCCTTCAGTCTAAGGAGGACTGAGTCCTCACACCCCTTCATATTTTTACTGGGGAACAGGCTGGCTGGTGATTAATATCAAGTACAATGACCCCATGTTACAAGCCTGCAGGGGCCTGTGGAGGTGGCCATTTCCTGTGTAATACCAGCTTGTTTAAACACTAACATTCAAACTCCACAGCTGCAGAACAAACCCGGAAAGAGTTGAGTGAGAAGAAGCCCTGCATTGTGTTTTGGAGCTATGGAAGATCAGAGAAGTGGTACAGATGGGAAACGAGTTGGGTCTTTTGGTTCCTGGGGTGAGGAGCTCTGGAAATACAGCTAAGAGGGCACAGAAACTTGGCCAAGGAAACTGAAAAAGAGAAAGTCCATGGACTACAGACACAGAGGGTAAGATAAAAGGCCACAGCAAAAGGAATGCTCTTAAGATATCTCATATCCTCTTTTTAACTTGTTTGCCTATGGATCAGCATATTATAGCTCACAACTCTCCACAGGGGGTTCGATGGCCAATATAAAACCACTATAGCCCTGGAAGACTTCCCAC